TAGAGAAGGATTTTTATTAGGTCTGACAGGGAGTGGTTCCAGGTGTTGATGCGCCAATTTGTTCGCTCTATGGTTTTGTGAAGGGAATCAGCTTGGTAGGAGATGAAACTGGGTAGATTTATGATGAATTTAAGTTTTGACCTCTCCTATCCCCACTCTGTATAAGGTGGATATGGATTTAGTATAGTGATGTGCTCTAATAATTGTCTCAGTTCCATCCTTGAGGACATCTTGGATTGAAAATTGGAGCTCCTCAACTTGGCCAACACTTTATGTTGAAGTTCTGAACATTATCCCTAGACAATCTCTTGTACCACTAGAGTAACAGGATGGTAGTCACATAGTCATTGCTTATAGTTTTTATCCATTATTAAAATTTACATTTACCAAATAGATCTCATTTCAGTTTATCTGTATACAGTGTTCATTGGTGATAGGATAAACTTAGATGCATACGGATTATGAAGAATTGGATAATGTATAGAAATAACACAATTGAGCTTTCAACACCCTGTGGTGCTAATCTCCTTAACATACTGTTGTTCCAGATCAGAGTGAATCTTTACCGGGTTGTGATTTGTTAGAAACTTATGCTAGACACTTAAACCATTTTTGCATCCACGAACGTCACCTGAGTTTTTCCCGTCAAACTGGGTTCATCTTTGAAGGTCAAGAAATATTTATAAGCAATTGGCTGGCCTTTATGTTTGATGGCTAGTGAGGTAAAACTACATGTTTTGAAGTGTTTCTTAAAAATGCCAGGTGTGCTTAGGTGTCCATGGGTACCGCCCTCACGCAACACTTTGAAATTTAGGTCACCATTTCATAGCAATAAAATTTATACAATTTAAGCTCATGCAAACAAGTGCAAAGTTCATAATTACTTATAAAAATAAAAAAGAGCTAGATGTGGGCTAAAAGATATGAAGAAAGACACTTCCAATATTACCAGTTCTACTAGGCATGGTGTCAACTGCTTATTTGTAATTTTTCTTGTTGGAATGACACATAATATTCTGTTTTTTATACATGAATTATATATATTATTTCTACTGTATGTATGACTTCGCACTCTAGGTCTTTATAATAGCCAAATATATCTAAAAGCTCCATTTATAAGTTTGATTAGTTTTTAGAATACCTTTTGAATGTTAAGCTATCCAGTTTAAGGATCCACATCATTTTTATTACACGATCATTGTGAAGGCTGGAAGTTAAATTTTCGATACCTACCTGTGGTTGTTGAAGGATTTAAAGTTAATTAGTCATTTTTCTTTAGTTCCTAAATCTTCGCAATTTAGTTCACTGAGAGTTGTTTATGTCTCCAGACTATGGCAAAGTCATTTGAGGTCACTGAACTGCCAGGTATTGTAATATCTATGTCAGCTTTCAGTTTCTGTGGTTTTTTCAGTAACATTTTGCTCTTTAACATGTTGTACTTTAATCCAGTACGCTCAGCAAAATTTATTGCACGCAAACAGTGGGTTGTCGCTGGAGCAGATGATATGTTCATTCGTGTTTACAATTATAATACAATGGATAAAGTGAAAGTTTTTGAGGCACACACAGATTACATCAGGTGTGTAGCTGTCCACCCAACCCTTCCATATGTGTTGTCGTCATCTGATGACATGTTGATAAAGCTCTGGGATTGGGAGAAAGGTTGGATGTGTACTCAGATTTTTGAAGGACACACACACTATGTGATGCAAGTGACCTTCAACCCAAAAGACACTAATACTTTTGCAAGTGCTTCTCTGGATCGCACAATAAAGGTGTCACTCAAATTCCATATCAATCTGCGGTATTAAGTACTTTTTAATTATTTGTTGTCAGAATATTGAACATATTCCTTGTTCTTAACCACAGATCTGGAATCTTGGTTCTCCCGATCCGAACTTCACCTTAGATGCACATTTTAAGGGAGTGAATTGTGTAGATTACTTTACAGGTGGTGATAGGCCATATTTAATCACTGGTTCTGATGATCATACTGCCAAGGTTGCCCAGTATCTCTTTGTTGGAAATTTGTATTATGTATCCTTCCATTGTAGCTTCGTGTTTAAAAGTTTTATGGAATCAGGTCTGGGATTACCAAACGAAGAGCTGTGTTCAAACTCTTGAGGGCCATACGCACAATGTTTCGACTGTCTGTTTCCATCCTGAGCTTCCTATAATCATTACAGGCTCAGAGGATGGAACTGTTCGAATATGGCATGCAACAACATATAGGTAGGTTAACAAATTTTTTTATCATGAAATTTCATCAAAATGACTACTGGCGTTAACAGTGCTTTTTTTTTTCCTTCTGCATATGCAATTTATCTTGTTTGTGTTTGATTTAAATGTATTTTCCCCCCTTATAGTTGATGTAAATTATTTGATGCAGCTGAATCATCAGCGTTGCTATTGCTGGATCAGCTGACCAAGATTTTCAGTTCCATAGATTTTTTTTTTAATTTTCTTATATATCCCTTACTATTTTTCTTCAATTGTTGTGCATGACTTGTTGGTTGGTAATGTATGCAGTGGCAGATCTGCAATTTTTTTTGGGTGTTTGGGGGTGGGGGTGGGGGATGATCTATTTACCTAAAAAATATAATATTATAAAATTATAGTACTTGTTAGGATTGCACTCGGTACACTTAATCAGCTCCATTGCATCATATTTTGCTCTTGTAATGTCACTTAGCTGTTGAAAATTAAATGGGATTTTATTTTTCAATGGGCTTTTCACTTTGCTACTAACTTATTTAGTGTTTTTAGATAAGTGGGGTGC